AAAAGGTTACACAATTTATTTAAAAAAAGTTACACATTACCGTTATAGTATTCGAACAAAAATTTACTTTAAATTAAAAAGAAACATCTAATTAAAATAAAGTTCTTGCTCACAGAATAGCATTAGTTTTTGAACTGCTTCAGCTGGAGTTACCAGCTGAAAAGGTCTACTCTCCAGACGCTGGTACTCACTTAAGGCATGGGTGTTATGTTACCTGAAGTAAAATTTTATAATTTTATAATTTTTTTTATAATTTTTTATATTTTATAATATTCCGAAAACGTTTGTTAATTTGATGTAGCCCTTTTAAGGTTTTTTTTTTAATATACCTACTTACAAAGTTTTAACCTCTTTTTGTGATACATGGTATTCAGCCAGCTGCAGGAATTTATTTTCCTTGTGGATTTTGGGGAAAATTCTTATTTTTTTCATTAGACTAAACAATCTGAAATCCTAACATTCGATCTCGTCATTACACATCATTCTCTATTTATAGAATTGCTAAGTGTTGTAAATGTTATATTTGTTTTTTTAACTTAATTTGAAAGTTTGCTTGTGTTTATTTGTTTATATAAATATAAAAATATATTATGAAGTTCACATAAATTAAAATAGAGTAACTTAACTATTATTATGTGAATGCGTGTATATAGTAGTGCATTTGTTTATTTCAGTAAATTCTCGAAATATGAAATGAAGATGGCACTAACTACTAAAGAGTTTATAGCTTTGTTAGAAGAATACTCAGATTGTGAAAATGCATTGCAGGTACATATGAAATACAAGTGATTGGGAATTCTGTCGATTACGATATCCTCTGAACCACAAATAAAACATCCAAAGAAAAAACCAGGCAAAAATAGTAAATCCAACTTTGTCTCAAGTTGTAACAACATACTCCTTAGTGCTCAGTAGTAATTCAACATCAGTCTGATTGATATTTAGACAATATAAAAGCCAATCATGGAGGCAAGTCATATATTGAAGATTTTTCACTCTTTTTTGACAAAAAAGTAATTGCGAGCATTCTATATTTTACAAATATTTATGCATAGCAAAATAACCGTCACGATTTTGAAATGAATAACATTTAAAAAAAATATATTAGCATATGTGTATTATCTTGTTCACACTCTGCTTCAAGTTGATATGCATTGGTCAAAGAATGAGGATAAAGAAGTGCACATTATAAAAGAAAGCATGAGCCGACATTTATAATTTATAATAGTGAAGAAACCGCTACATTGGTGTCAAACTTAGTACATGGATGTCAATCTAAATTTTCCTTTACCAGATGAAACCAGATTCGATAATATTGGCCACATTACAAAAAGAGACGATAGTGCAAGAATGTAAGATATGCAAAATCTGTAATACTGTTTATTTACGTAAAAGGTGTAGAATGCATCTACACCCCAAATGTTTCGATAATTTTCGCCTTAAAATTTAATATACATTTAAGATTCAATATGTTCCTTTATTAAAAATTTTACTGTTGAAAATGAGAAAAAAAAATCTTTTTAGTTGTAAATTAGTCTTAATTTATGCGTTTTTACCCCAATCTAAGAAATTAATTATCAAATTTCTCTTTGTATATTGAGCGGCCGTTAATGGTTTAATACTATATAAAGAATAAACTTTCCTCAAATTTGCTTTACTCACCTCCAAACTATTTTAAAGTTAATAATAAAGTCTATTTAATAAATACGTTCCCAAGAAATAGAACACACTACGCCTATGCACATATATAACGTGGAACGAATAAACTAAAATATCATATTTCTCTCATCCATTCTTTCTAAGAACGTATATATATATATATATATATATATATATATATAATATATATATATATATATATATATATATATATAGACCAGCAAAATATTGATAAGTTTACCGATGTTTCAAACTATTCAATGGACTTGTCTCACTACACACTCGTGAATCGCATCAATTTATATTGTTATGGGGCAAATTTTATGGGACTATCTTAATTTTTTACTTATTTACATGGGCGAAACATATACAATAAAAATGATCCCGGTAAGAATTTACTACTGACATTTTACATGGTTGCCGCTACCGTTTAGTTCAATTTGTAGATTAGTCACCTTTAATTGAAAATTGTCCGACTATAAATACACAATGGTACGGCGTTACCATTACACAAAACTACTACAACATTTTGTTATAATGCTTGAGCTGTAATTTGAAAAGCGAACACTACAATCTCCTTCACGATGTCCATTTTCCTTTCTTTCTCACTGCCTTCTTTCTTCAGCGCTACAAACATGCGTGTCTGTACAACTTTTTCCAATTGGCAGCTTTCCATTAATTTGTAGTCAAATGTTGGTAGAGGTCGCTATGTCGGATTTTGTGGTGCCTAAGTCAACATTTTCTCAAACTAGTTGTTATTCGTTTTGAAGTCTATATATGTATATATATGTTCTGCCCACCTTAGGTCGTTGCAATTTAATCTCCTGGACATTATCGTTATAAAGTTCTTTTATTCCTATATTTGTTCTTGTGGGGTGAGATCCGAATATTTTCTTTCAAATTGCAATTTTTATTCATTTGCTTTGGCCATTATCAATGCTTCGTATCCACATGTTAGTAAAAAATCTGACAATGGTTGTATAGATTTGGATTTTGATGTCCTTGTTAGGTTTTTTCGATTGTATAAGCTTTGAGAATTTATATTTCTTCTTGTTCTTCCTTTTTATAAGCAATTCTGCTTGTTCATTGGTGGATTAATATCTCTAAGGACGGTAGTCACTCCATCTTTTGCGCGGTCATCCGATACTTCTCTGCTAATTGGTGACATCTTTTGCTACTTTGACGACACGGATCTCCTCCGTTCTACTTATGTGGTTATTCCATTCTTTTTTTTTTATTTTGTGTCCATTCATTTATACACAGTACGTTACATTTTCTTCTATCTTCACTTCTCTATCGATCTCTCAGCGTATTTCCTGTAATTCTTCTCAGTACTCTCGTCTCTGGCGTTTCCAGTAGCCATTGCGTTGTGGCTGTATCGGGTCTTATTTCTGAGGTATATGTCATTATTGGTCTTACACTGGCTTTATAAATTCTTGACTTCATCTCAGTGTTAATGCATCTGTTTGTCATGTAGTGTTATTAAGGCATCCTAACAGTCTATTGGCTTTTTTACTTGATCTCTTACTTCTTTGCATAGCTAGACAGTGTATTTAATTTTAATTACTTGTTCAATACTGATGCCATCAATTTCTATTTAACATCTGGTTGGTTCTTGGCTGACTACTATTGTTTTAGTTTTCTGAGATGATATTGTCATATTAAATTCTTTTGTTAAATCTGTGCACCAGTCGTTGCAGACTATCTTCATCTTGGGCTATCAATATTGCGTCATCTACGTAACAGAGTATTTTCATTTCTTTGTTTCCCACTCTTTATCCTCTTCCTTTGTTAACGGTGTTGATGATTTATATTTCTTTATTTATTATTATATTCTACGATTCAATGTAATAAAGACATTAGTTCAATAAGCAAAAATGTAATATTAGGTAGGTATTATAGTAATTAAAATGTATGTATGTATTAGAATAAATAAATAAAATTTACAAAAAACTGTTATATATATTTATTTGTTCTGTATATAAAAATCATGGTGTGATGGTGACATAACAAGGATTTAGGCATCTAAATGTTTTTAGCTGCTGAAAAACTTGTACTTGAAACCAAAACGGCAGAACTAGGATCGAAAGTACCTCATTCGCATAAATAAAACTATAAAAGGAGTCAGATAGGGATGTGTTTTATCAGTATCAGGAAGCATACAACGCTCGCAAATAAAATTAACTACAAAAAAGTGAGGGTTAGAGCTCAACGTTTAATAAATCAACCAAAAAAATCCAGTTGGAGCCTAATATGTCTCTAGCATTAACAGTTCCACTCCTGTAAAAGAAGAATGGCAGAAAAACGTAAAATTTCCGGCATAAATAAGTCACCCTCAATATCTATTCTCAAAATAGGTAATCAGATTGTCCCATCTCCGCTTTAACTTGTTAACTAATTAGCTAAACACTACAGAGAAATGTCTTAGTCATGGACCTGACATTATTCCAACTGTTATCCTTAAACGCCTACCCACGTCTGCTAAAAATTAAATGCCTCAATTATTTAACTTCATCTAGCAACGACAGCAGTACCCATCTGTTTTGTCCACATCTATCATTTTCCCATTTCTCAAAAGCCAAAAATCTCGTCTAGACCACAGAATAAATAACAATTGTTTTCTGTTATGTGTCTAGTCTAGGCCCTGATTGCTATAGACCAATAAGCCAATTGCAATTGGCAAGCTACTAGAAAAAAAATATCAACTCAAGGCTGATTTGGCATTTAGAAAATTCAAATTTACTTAAAAGCGAATAAAATGGATTTCGACAAAACAGTTCGGAGATAGACAACATATTAGACTTAAAAAGTGATAATTCACGAATCCCTGACAACAAACAACATTGTATGGCAGTATTTTTTGACTTAAGAAAGCATTTATTACGGCGATATAATATCTTCAGTTGGCGATATAAAAGTTTCAGTCAAATGGAATATTCGTGGAAATTGGCTTTATTTTATTAAGAGCTTTATAAAAAAAAGATCGTTTCATGCAAGAGTTAACAACTACTATTCCGAAAAACAGGAGGAAGAAAATGGAACCCCTCAAGGCTCAATTATTAGCCCTACACTCTTCTTAATCGCCATTGCAAACTTGTAGAAGCACAGAATGAACAGATTAAGTGATCCATCCTAATATAAATTAAAATATTTGATAGACTTGAATCTAATAATAGTATCTCATTTGGATTTGTTGGATAAAAATATCTTAAAGCTTTTAAATATTAAACAACTATATTTAAAAACAAAGTTACCCCGCAATCCTAATATAACTGATTAATTCTTTTATCATCTTGAAATTATAATTCTTTGGAAAGTAGTAATTTTAAATTTCGTTTCAGATTTCGGAATATACACATATGTGGAGCAACTCTGATAGCCAATAACGTTGCAATTACAGCAGCTCATTGTATTCAAATGTCTGGTTCTTACACAGTGAAAGGTGGATCGACCAAACTTGACGATGGAGGCGTAATAATACCCGTTAAAACAGCTATATTACATCCAATGCACAAGTCGGAAAACGAGGATTATGACTTGGCTATTCTTAAACTCAACACGCCTTTTAAGTAATATACAAATAATGTCTTATATGTCGCTACTTCTGCACCCTAAAAATAAACAAAACTGACTAAGGACATTTCGACACCCCCATAGAACAAGGTTGTAACTCAAGTTAGATCTAGTTTCACATTTCAACACGGGCGAATTCAGTGAAAAATTGCGCACACGTCAATATAAACCACATAGCTTAATTCTCAATAGTTTCGCTAATACTCCGTTAAAAAAAGTTGTACTTTAAGTTACGTGTGTCATTTTAGCGTAAAAAAGGCAGTATAACACTGTTACTCCCTATGTCAAATTTTAGTTTCTATATATTTGACGATTAATAAGGTTGCTAAAGAAGTTACAGCTTTGTTGCACGTATTTTTAATTTATAAAGTAATCAAACATACGGTGTATCCCCTAAGTCAATCTTGTTGTATGAATAGTTTACCGGAGAATCCCATATGCTATATGAGTTACTGCTTTGTTTGTGTTCTACTAGTTGCAGTAGGTATATTTCGTGAATGTAACTTGTCTTCTTCTTCGGGTTCCTTCTCCTAGCGGAGGTTGGAAATCATCATCGCTATTTTAACTTTGTTGGCCGCATTTCTGAATAATTCTAATGAGCTGCAGCCGAACCACTCTCTCAAATTTCTTAGCCAGGACATTTTGCGTCGTCCTGGGTTTCTCTTCCCTTTGCATAATCAACCTCAGTAATACGTACTTCTCACCCCTCATTAAATGTCCCAGATATTGAATCTTTCTAATTTTAACAGTTTTTATGACTTCACATTCTTTCTTCATTCTTTGTAACACCTCTATATTAGTTACTTTTTCAATCCACGATATTTTATGCATTCTCCTGTAGCACCACATCTCAAAGGAGTTTAATTTTTTGATTTCAGACTGCTTTATTGTCCACGCTTCCATGCCATATAGTAAAGTAGAGAAGACGTAACAACGTAGCATTCTTGTGCGAATCTCTAGATTAAGGTTACGGTTGCAAAGTAATTTCTTCAATTTTATGAACGTGTTTCTTGCCATTTCTATTCTAGATCTGATCTCCTTTACTTGATCTCCATCTTCGGTTAGCCACGTTCCTAAATATTTATATGTTTTTACTCTTTCTATCGTTGTATTATTGATGATCAGGTTATTTACATTTTGTGGCTTTTTTGAGAATATCATTGATTTCGTTTTCTTGAGATTCATTTGCAGTCCGTAACTTTCACATGCATTGTATACATGTTGTATTATGTACTGTAGATCTTCCATGTCACTTGCAAATATGACAGTATCGTCGGCATATCTAATATTGTTAATGCTATTTCCGTTGACATAAATACCTTCCACGATATCCAATAAAACCTCTTGAAAAATCACTTCACTGTAGACGTTGAATAAGAGTGGTGAAAGGATACACCCTTGTCGAACTCCTCTAAGTATACTTACTTCCTCTGTCAGTTCTCCTTCGACTCTTACTCTTGCTTTCTGGTTTTGATACAGATTCGATATAATTTGTAGATCTCTACTATCAATGTTTTTAGTCTTAAGAATACTTAAAAGCTTCTCATGTTGAACTCTATCAAAAGCTTTCTTGAAATCTATAAAGCAAGCATATATGTCCTGATTCATATCCAGGCATCGTTGTGTCAGAACATGGACTCCAAATAATGCTTCTCTAGTTCCTAGACCCTTTCTGAAACCCATCTGTGAATCACTTATTTCTTGTTCTAATTTCATGTTCATTCTGTTATGTATGATTTTAAGGAAGGTTTTCAATGTGTGGCTCATTAACGCAATTGTTCGATAGTCATTGCAATCTTTAGCATTTGTGATTTTTGGAATAGTCACAAAAGTTGAGAGAAGCCACTCTTTGGGTATGTGTCCCGTCTTGTATATGGAGTTAAAAAGGTCTACCAAGACATCAATATTATCTTCATTAATTATCTTCAATAGTTCAATTGGTATTTCATCGGATCCTGGAGCTTTTCTGCCTTTTGTGTGTTTTATAGCATACATAACTTCCTCTTTCATTATTTCTGGTCCCGTGGTTTCTCCGTTAACTTCTAATAATTGTTCTACTTTTTGATCATAAAATAGTTGTTCAATGTATTCTTTCCATCTACGTAGTTTGTCTTGCGTTTCAGTTATAGTGGTACCATCTGCATTTTTTAATATCCCGATTGGTTTGTTACGATTTCCTGAAATCATTTCTTTAACCTTCTTATGGGTGTTGAAAGTGTCATATCTTGCCTCACATATTTAACTTGTACATTATTTGTACACTGTACTTGTACTTGTACATTATTTAATTTAGTTGATATTTTTGACTATACAAGTGTTTCAATATCGAGATATATTTTCAAAATGAGTCGTAATAGGCGTATATTAGAATTACCTTTGAAAAATAGTGAAATAGATGCTGAACCTGATAAGTAATTATCATAACCATAATTTTGTAAGTAAAAATAAGTAATTTATATTTTATTATAGATATGGAACAAAAGTTACTTTCTGGCGAGGTGGAAAATTTAGGCATTGTTGAAAAAGATTTTGATGTCACAGAAAACCCTTTATGTGCAAATACATCATATGTATAATCCGATAAAATACTTATTCAACATGGCAATGATTTATTCGAATTTAAAACAAACTTACGGCCTGGTTGTAGCAAATTTCTAGACCCGAATGGTAGTGATGATTGTTAAGCGAGTTCCAACTTTTTTCTACGAAGAGTCATGTGTAATCTCAAGGTTGTATCTCAACCAAACTCAAGATCTTCAATAGTTAATTAAATTACAAAACATACATCTCAAAGTAATCGCTCATTATGTTATAAATATCGTCTCGCATTAGTGTAAAAGAGTTTACTCATTTCGCTACAATTTTTTAAAAATACATCTTTTCGTTTTTTGCCTCTCCTGTAAAATCGCTAAAACTGAGTTACAACCTTGTTCGATGGGGGTGTCGATTTGATATTTATGCACAAATTATAACCACAGGGGTTATTATTGGCATAAAATAGAATACAAGTAATGTTATAATAACTATCATATTTTATTAATCTTTTCCTAATAATTTTTGCAAGTATTGTAAATACTACTTCTTATAGTGCTATACCTCTATAGTTTTCGCACTCCATTTTGTCTCCTTTTTTATAGATAGGACAAATAAGAACACTATTCCATTGTTTCGGTATTTCTTCCTTTTGCCAAATTATTAGTGTCAAATGATATATCCTTTCCTTCAATCTTTTGCCACCTTCCTTAAAAATCTTAGCTGGGATACAACTTTCTCCTGCCCTTGTTATTTTTTAGGTCTCTTATTACTTCTTGACTTCATTCAGAATTGGTTCCTCGCACGTCCATTCTTCATCTTCTTGCCAATTCTCATTTTCCCTTACCTCTTTGTTTATGTAGGCTTCTTCTATGTTCTTCAATTGCTTTTCTAGCTGTTCTCTTGTCTTTTTTCGCAAATTTTTTTCACTTCTCTTTTTCTTGCCACATAGTTTTCAATCGCATTTTGGGTATTTTCTTTATCTCTTTTTAGTTTTACACTGTTTCTTTCTGTCAAAACATTCATACATTCTTCATCGAACCAGTCTTGCCGCCTTTTTATATGCTCTCTTCCTATACAATTTTCAGCTGCTTCCGACATGGTTGTCTGTATGGTCTTCCATTCTTCATCTATATCCTGTTTGACTGGATTCTCCAGTTTTTTATTTATTTCTTCCTCTAGTCTGTTTACAACCTGCTTCTCTTGATGGCGCTCTAATTGGTAATTTAATCTATCTCTAACAGATTTTGGTATTATTGGTAGTTCTTGTTTTAATTTTGCTATTATTAGTGTATGGTCACTGTTGGTATCTGCTCCTCTGTAACTCCTGCAATCGATTATTGCCTTATCATGTTTAGGACATGATTTATCTGATTTTTCATTTTTCTATCTGGAGAAGTCGATGTTACCTTATGAATATCTTTGTGATCAAACCTTGTGCTAGCTATCTTTATTTTGTTCTCTGTAGCAAATTCTATTAACTTTTTCCCGTTTTCATTCGATTCCTTATGTAAACTTCGTCCTCCTGTTATTCTTCTACTTATATATTTCCTCTTTTTCGACTTTCGCATTTATGTCACCAATGATTATCTTTATATGGTATTTCTGTAGATTCCCTATTAGGGTGCTTAGTTTTTCGTAGAACTCTGTTTTAGTTTCTAAGTCTTTATCTTCAGTGGGCGCATGTACATTAATGATATGTCTATACTTTCCTCTGACTCTCAAGTAACATATTCTGTCTGATATTGGTTGAAAATTTACAACTGCTTTGTTTACTTTCTCTGACATCATGAATCCCACTCCAAAATATCTTTGGTTCCCCCACTCTTGAACAGTGTGCTCTTGCCTATTTTTATTATTTCATTTCCCAGTTGTTTCGTTTCTTGTAGGGCAAGGATATCTATTCTATATTTTTCCATAAATTGGTCTAAGTTTCTTAAAGCTTCCTGCTCATAAGTACCTATCACATTCGAAGTCCCAAATTTTATTATATCCTTGGATTGTTGCCTTTCTTTGCCTTGCCGTTTAGGTATCATATCTTTTCGGTTGTTTTTCTTCTACTAGTTTTTTGGCAATTTTTCTTTGGGATTTGCTTTTAGTTGTTCGAACACTTCTTATAGCCTATTTTTGTCTGTTTTCCTTTACTTTTTTCTTCCTTTGCTAATTTAACTATTTCTTTCTGTATTTCTTTTTCTTTTGCTGTCAGATCATTATTTATGTAGATGCGATCTTTATGATACTTCAATTTGCTTTTCCTATTTAGTATCTCAATTTTATCCGTGAAAGTTTCTGTTTCTATGGCATAAACTGTTTCTCCTATTTTGTTGCGTTCCTCAGTTTTATTTGCGCATGCAGTTCCTGTGACATGAATGTTTCCATGCTTTCTTTTAGTTTTTTATCATCATTTGTATCTATTTTTAAACCGGATATAATCAAATTTTTCTTTTTACTTTGTTCTCCAGTTGTTCCATTCTGTCTTGTTATTGTTTCACATCGTTTTTTAATCTTCTGTTTTCCTCTTTTATCTCTTGTAGTTGTTTATTATTTTCCATTTGTTCTTTTCTTATTTGCTTTATTTCATTCATCATTTCTTCATTTTTTTCCATTAGTTTTGCATCATTTTAATCATGACATCCTATTTCTCTCCGTGTTACTTTTAGAAGGTGTACGCTTTGTCATTTTACTTCTTCGAAAATATTCATTCTGGTCTTTTGTCTTGCGTTTCGTTTCTTCATCTGTATCTATTTCACTTCCTGTTCCTTTGTCACTTCCATTAATTTTCTTATTCCTTTGTCACTTCCTCCACAGGCCGGATCTGGATTTTTGTAATAAAATTTGTAATTTGTTAAAAAACTATTGTTATTAATAAACTATTGTTTTTCTTTAAGGTTATCGTCATCAATTCAACCTGCAAAACTACCAAAAGGAAACGAACGCCCTACCGTAGGTTGGGTAGGTACTGTTACCGGTTGGGGTGCCATTTCTAATAATTTCCCTGATATGTCAGATACACTTAGAATGATTGAACTGCCAGTACTACCGTTCGAATGGTGTCAGTCGAGATATATTAGTGTTCCATTAACCCCGCGAATGTTTTGTGCAGGGTTCAAAGAAGGTGGAAGAGATTCCTGTCAGGTTAGTAATGATTTATAGACTGTATCTTTCTACTCCTCTATGATTTTCCTATATTTTATCCCACAGAAGCCAAGTCCTAGTTACAATATTGTCTTGACCAAACTTCAAATTTCTTTCTTTCATCTTTTACAATTTGCTTGACAAGTGTGGTGTGTAAATGTCAGTAAAGAGAAGTAGGTATAAGGTTCTGAGTGTCTACAAACAACAATCTACAAACGCACAAATTAAATCAGGGTTGCTAGGAATACCCGAGTTGAAATAATAAAAGATTGTAAAAAATATATAACAAATTTACCACGACACTAACAATGAATATCTTGAGAATTGCAAAATACAAAACAGAGCGAATGGCTGCTTAAAATGTTAGATACTGGTATCAGTAAATTTATTTTCTAGAAATACAAGAGCCTCAATACAATCGATATTAAAGGTCGATTCAAACACATCAGTCCCGGTGCCGAACCGGTCCCGTCTGGTCACAAAACTATTCGTTCGTCTATTCGCACACACCCGAAATGCATCAGTCTTCGGCGAATAATCTGTTGAAAAGATGGAAAGTTTCTCGGATGAAGAATTAGCAATAATTGCTAATGTTTGGACGAGAAAGAAGCGCATTAAACCAAGCAAAAAGACGGAAATGGATCCATAGACATGAAAAAAAAAGGGATACCGAAGGAGCATACGTGACACTGTATAAAGAACTGCTTCATGATGATGTAAAATTTCATCAATATTTTAAGATGTCAAAAAATTGTTTCCTGCCAAATATTATTTTTAAAATTAATGTCCATGTATTTTGCATGCGACAAATCATATAAAACATTGTATTTGCTCAAACATTATATTAATTGTTCGTCAATTGGCGAGGAACCGCAAAGTGGGCGACACCTGGTGGTAGATTTCAAAAGCATCCACTTCGGGAAAACATTGAAATTGTCATTATTTTGTATACATATTAGCGACCGGTTTATACTGTAATTAACAATAACTTCGACTTTGCAAAAAACTATTGCAGTGTTCCTCAATGTTCATCCTATTATCATTCACAAAAAAAATTCCATACATAAGTTTCCGCTGGACGAGAATATGAGAAAAGTTTGGCAATGCATCTTGTGAATTTGCAAACATATAACCAAGTACGTAACTGTGTGCAGTTTACATTTTACTGAGAACAATTACTTTCCAATTGTTGATTAAAATATTATTTATATTTTAATATATTTATTCTTAATTTACTTTATAGTAACACCTGACACTAAATTAAGAAGACTGAAGAAAAATGCTGTTCCATCAGATAAATTGCCCCAACGGTCTCATGAATTTATTAGTAGAAAACGTAAGGCGTAATTTACAAAATATAACGTGGACAGCTCCAAAAACTGCCTCACCCTCAACTAAAGATCTCTGCCGATCTTGCAACCAAATAAATAATTAAAATAATGTAAATTTTACTTCCCGTGTTTCAGACATACTGTAGAAAAACAAACATTTCATTTTATTTTTATTCGGGTTTATACCTTAGAGATCAAATGACAAAATGATTTGTTTTCCCGAAGTTATCGTCCATCTTTAAAATCTTCAGCGCCCCCTGTCGGAATTGGCTATCGCGAATAATTAGGATTATAAGAGATTATAAAATCGGCCGGGCGATAGACATGTCGAAACCTGACTGCTGGGAAACTGTTCGTCAACTGATGAATGTGAATGCCGGCGGCATATTATTTCTATTAAAAATATTTTGTATGACGGATTGTTCGGTTCGTCGTCGGGACTGTGACGAGACGTGACTGATGTGGTTGAATCGACCTTTAAAAGACAATCGAAACAGTTGCACAGTGGCGTTGCAATATTAAACAATTTGGGAAGAATATTTTATATTTAAAACGGCAAAATATTGTAAAACTCACATAAACAATAAATGAGAGATGCTTTTATAAAGATTAAATAAAAAATAAAAAAATATACAAAAATCTAAATACAAATTATGAGTAGAATGATTAGAAACTATTTTGTAGAATGGAGACGACTGTTGCCATCTAGAACCCATTCAGATAAGGTCTGATGGTCAGCAACAACCCCTATTGGGAGTTTTACCTTGCCATGCTGGATATCTGTTAAATACTTTAACATCCCAACATATTTTTAACAATAATGTAACACAACAAATTTTGTAACTTTTTAAGGGTTTTACCCAGATATTTAGTGGTTGAACTCATGTATACCTGATAATAATATACTGATGATGGACTTTTTAGTCCGAAAACGTTCTGTGATGTAGCCCGAAAGGGTGTTTGAATTATATACCCTTTATAAAGGATTTTTAGATAAAACTTTTTAGAGCAGAAGTGTGTGACTACTTTTGACGAAGGATTATGTTCAATACTGGATGCAACAGACTGACTAATGATGATGATATAATTTATCGCATATTTTTAACTGCCATAATACTACTATATTATAATAACACTACATTTTAACAAAATTTTAATACCTTTATAAACTGTTTAAGAATAATTTCTAATAATTTTTAGTAATTTCTAACCATATACTCAATTATAAATTAATATGCTCAATTTCAGGGCGATTCCGGTGGTCCTTTCGTAATCAATGGAACCCTTTATGGTGTAGTGTCCTGGGGATTCAATTGTGCTACACCCGGTTATCCTGGAATATACGTAAATGTGCCTGCTCTTCGAGATTATATACGCCAAAATTCTGGGATTTAATAGTTAAAACAAATTCGGTGATTACAATAAAATTCTTTTTTAATGTGTGTTATGTTTAACTATCTAATATTAACATTAACTATAACCTTTGTCATTAACCGTTTACAAAAATTATCAAAAAAAAGACTGGACGATAATTATACAGCTTAGAGAACAAGCTGGATTATTTAGATCGGAATACAGCACTAACCAAAGAAATTAAGACACGTAATGAAATAGTAGTAGTAATAAACTTAAAAAGTTCCTTTGTTGTCGGGATATAAGGTTAGAACTACGCCTGAGAATGCTTAGATGTTACGTGTTCTCTACTCTTCTTTATGGCTTGGAAACTAAAACTTGAGTACTGAGGACATGTAATGAGAGGGCAAAAATACGCATTATTACAACTTATTATTGTTACGTTGTCTCTGTGGGCTTTTAATAATATTGACGACCAGTTTCTTTTTAATATCTTTTATTAAAGACCAACTAAACTTAATACATGATTATATCTAACGAGCCATCTTTTTCCCTTCCTGTCCGCTGTCCAGTCCATCTCCTTCACCTGTCACTCATGTTAAGATAGGTTTACTCATGATACTATGAATAACAAGATAGGATCTTCCCGTAGCTCAAAATCGGTCGGTGTTCGCGCATGTCGTCATTGGAGACTAGAATTTGAATTCTTGTTAAAGTTAAATGAGATTTGTATGCATTCTGTGATGAAATTACTAGACGAAAATAAGTTAAGAGGTTAAATAATTACAATAATCGTACACATAAGGATATCTCCAAACTATTTATTAAAGATTATTTATTGATATATACAAAAACTGACATTTCGAACGTGCAAGTCTCCAATGACGTCACAAAAACATGCGCAATATCTTATCTTATAGTCATAGTATCATGGGTTTACTGGTTTACAAATGTTAAGGTAGGTTCACATAACATAACATGCCCCTTTTTTTACAAAAAAAACTAAAACTATCCCAACAACCTAAAACCTACTCTTCTGAAAATGAAAACCTTTTTGGTCTATTTACAATTCGACCAATCCTGGTACAAAATATGATTACTTACATTAGTCTATGTGACCTATTTAAGCTAACATTTAAATTGTCATAACTTTGATTTGAAATTGATGTATCGTTATTCATATTTGAGAGCCTCATACAAATTGGAACTAGCTGATGTACTATTTTCATGCTTAACTATCACCTCACTATTTTGTCTACTAATTGTATTAGCAGGCTTTAATATGTGTTGTCTGTTCCTAATCATGTACACCTTCAGGTGTTCTGACGACATATGATCTTGGAAAAGGACCGATTTCTATCACAGTAGCTGGTAACCACGGTGATGATGGAACCTTTTTATAAAATACATTTTCTCCAACAAACAGATTCGGTAGGTTTCTATCTGAACTATCATGATATTCTTTTACTCTCCTTTGACTGTTGAAATGTTACAGTATCCATGTTAACCTCAAATGACTTGTAAATATTTCTTGCATCTGTACCAATATAGTGCAATAGTAAAGCTACTTTTCTCGCATCGTTTTCTTCCTCTAAACCTGTGGCCCTCAAAAATATTTTGAAATTTACGCTCCACTCTCCCCAGTTGTGTGCCAAATTTCCTTGCATTGACAATGGTTGGATTTCATTTCCAATTACATTACTTTTTATTTTTACAACGACAGGTTGATTCTGCTCTATAGAATCTTGTTCCGACATGGTTGAACTTTATCTTTTGACCGTTTTTTTTAATTAAATTTCTTTTAAAACCAACCAGACCACCACGTGCTGTTAGACCATATTTCGACTTTTGTATGACTATTATAATACTCGTTGCTATAATCTGACCTGAATTTTTACTCTGACACCATGTTACGTTGTCTCTGTGGGCTTTTAATAATATTGACGACAGTTTCTTTTTAATATCTTTTATTAAAGACCAACTAAACTTAATACATGATTATATCTAACGAGCCATTTTTTCCCCTTCCTGTCCGCTGTACATCTCCTTCACCTGTCACTCATGTTAAGGTAGGTTTACAAATATTAAGGTAGGTTCACATAACATAACAATTATGCAAGGCAAAATCCGAGGAAAGCGAAATGTGGAAAGACGAAGAATATCTGGCTTAAGAACTTAAGGGAATGGTTTGAATGCAGTAGTGCAGAACTTTTTAGAGCGGCAGTCAATAGAGTCCGCATAGCCATGATGATTTCCAACCTTCGATAGAAGATGGTACTTAAAGAAGAAGAAGACAGCACTAACGACCGCTTACTAGTGATAAAGAAACTGAAAGAGAAGTCTGCAAAATACAACAAACTATTGGCACTGATATTTGTCGCATACGAGAAAGCCTACATGCAGCGAGACAACAAAAATGGACGGAAACTGTAGAAAGTCTTAATTTTCAAACATTAAATAGGCAAGCATGGACACTACTAAGAAAATTAGGAAGTAGAACTCCCATAACAAGGAACAAAACAACAATTAACCCAAACACTATTGCCTCACAACTGGTATCGACATCTAGGGCCCCGAAACAGACAAGCCACACACAATCAAAAGTAAAACGAGAGCTCAAAACTTTAAAATTCCAATCTGTAGAAACCGAATACTCTCGCCCTTTCACTTGCGAAGAAGTCACTATAGCTCTCAAGGTTGTAAAGCCCCAGGTTTTGACAATATTCATCCCGAATTCTTAATTAACAGCGGCAAAGATGCGAGAGATTGGATGGCCACTTTTCAGAGATATTATGAAGACCGGTACCATACCACAGGAACTCATACGCTCAAAGGTCATTGCCATATTAAAACCAGGAAACCAAATGATAACAACCCTAAGAAACTACAGACCAATAGCCCTACTATCAGCAACGTTCAAGCTACTAGAATGACTTATCTATAACAGAATTAGTCCGAAGCGCATTCTTTCACTTACCAAATTTATTGAGGCAGGGTTTCAGAGAAAACTTAAAACTGCATCCGCATTTATAGACATAACAGCTGCCTATGATACAGTCTGGAGAGAAGGCATGATATACAAGCTGTAAATCCACCGCATCGAATAATCAACAGCATGCTAGCCGACCAAACGATTCAAGCAGTCATGGGAACCGACATCAGCACCCCAAGAAAACTGAAGAATGGATTGCTTCAGGGATCTGTCCTAGCTCATCTTCTCTTTAGCCTGTACATCGCTGATATACCAGAAACCAGATCAAGGAAGCTTGGTTACGCCGATCACTGGGTCCTTGCAACAAGGTGTAAGTCAATTGAACAAACAGAAGAAATCCTTACGGCAGATTACACACAGAGGGAAAGAATTTCCGTAAATGGAGGCTCAAAAAAAACGCTACCAAAACAGAGGTTTTCAATTTTCATCTAAATAACAAGCTTGCAGGAAGGACACTGAACGTCCAATTCGAAAACACCACACTGGCCTACAATAAAACACCAAAGTACCTTGGGGTGACTCTTGATAAAACCCTATCTTTCAAGAAACATCTGTCAAAAATAGCGGAAAAACTTAAATCCAGAAAACAACATCATCCAGAAGCTGTGAAGCACAACATGGGGAGCATCGGCTTCCACCTTGCGATCATCTGCCCTGTTCCTTGTCTTCTCGTCTGGAGTCACTTATGGAGTGGAAACATTAACACTCACAAAAAAGGTAGTGTACAGGAAGTTCGGAAAATACTGAAGAACGGAAAAGCAGCAGGTAAAGACGGGATACCAAACAACTTATGAAAACAACTGTTTGTGTAATATAAATAACTTCTAAATGCAAAAACAGGACAAATTCATAGTCACAAGTAAACACACCAGAAACGTCACAAATTGTACTTAAAATTTAAAAACATCCCCAAGCGTCTTTTTTGTACCTATCTCTTTTCTATGTACTGCGTATCTAGAGCGTTCATAGAAATAACACGGGTAAAAAATCATAGAATCAACTGTATATTACTGTATACCGCAAGGTTGCTAAACGCGTCCCGAGCAGGCTAAATATTTATTTCGGGCCGAACAATAAAAAGTATTTCCTTCAAAATCAATTTTTTTTACATGATAACCTCTATTTTTCTGTTTCTGTAGTAGTTTTTGATTTACAAGAAGTTAAAAGGCAAATAAGTAGTAGAAAGTTTCAAGAATAAATTCATAAGGTACACCGGGGTAAGAGGAAACCTAGAAAATCAGTAATTTCTGTTTAAGGCCTTCTAAAAAATTTAGTTTTATATGCACTCTATTAGGTTACCGACAGGTAAGAGTTACACCATTTTCTAATACGAATGCGGTGTTAAAACATAAAAAAAAACTTTAAAGAACTTTTTTCTAACAAAAAATTTCAATCATGTGACATGGTTTCCACTTGCCCCACATTTTCTACATGGCAAGGGGCAAGTGGAAACCTATCCGAATTTATATATTGAATTCAATGAAACTCGTTCTGGGGCAAGTAGAAATAATAAAAAACACATTTCTGAATACATTTGTAATAAAAGTTTTAAAAAAAATAATGGATATTAGCGAACATTATAGTGATTTAGAGAAATAGGAAACGAAATTAAAGTTGCCTTTTTGTAAGCTGGAAAAAACTTAATGGTTTTGGCAATAGAAATTCAATTTGAATGCGACTGATATGTCTGGTACGTTAGGAAAATAATATTTTCCGTCATTTTTTATGCATTTTCGAAGGGAACTAACTTTAACTTCAGTATCAAAACACTGCAAAATTTTAGCGACATAATAAATATAACTTGAACCTCCTTTAACTGGAAATTTCATTAATACGAAATCATCGGGCATAGCCTCACGATGTATTCGATGGGAGGGGTTGGAACCCTTAATATGTCAATATCGTCGTCGGAATATGATCTCATCTCAATGAAAGCTGGTCATCATCACTGCTGTCAGATTGTGGTTCCTTCTTCTTTTATCCTTTTCCTTTCCGTTTTATTGGATTTTATGGTCTTTTGTCTTGTTGTATCCTGAATCGACCTTTACAGTGGTAATATTAACCTAGTGTAGATCGTTTTTGGGGAGATGGCAGTCACAGGACCGGATTATGATTTTTTTAATCACATGGTTTCCACTTCCTCCATATTTCCACTTGCTCTGGGGTACCTTATTTCATCGCCTATTTAATTTTGATAGAAAAATATAGGTTTCTATTAGAAAAAAAAACAAATGAATGACGTCATCAAGGCATCGTCTGATGTTATCACAGTCGGTATTATCCAAATATCCAAAATAAAAGCAAAACTCAATTGTAAAATCATTTGTATGTTTCGTATATTCTATCAAAAATTGCCTAAATAATTGTGTCTGCGCTGTAGTCGTCTGCGCGTCATGCGTCAAGCTCAAATATTGATCGCGGCTAACATTCAAATTATAGTGAACTGTAAAGATATATTATGTTGTTATTATTCTTAAATTTACTTATTGTCGCAATAAATGGACAACACTGTGATAGTCCACAAGTAATATCAACACCTTATACTACTCAAGATGGAACAATTTTAAAACACGTGGCTTACATTTCGAACTTCTTCGTAAAATGTAAAGACGGCGAACCTGGACATTTATACGCTTTATTAGGTGAAGGTTTGTCACCGGTGGCCTCCGTTGGACCCAACAAATACCAAATTAGTTGGACTGAAGATGTGAAAACCGCAAAAACGGGCAATATTGCTATAAAAATTTATAACGAAACTGGATACATTGCTTTAAAAAAGGCAGTAAGAGCTGGTGAAACGTTTGCTCATGTTCCAGTGTTTACTACAATAAACATTAACCACACCGGTGTATACGGGGGACCTTGGATATCTTGTGAACTTTTAGCAGCAGTATTTTCAATCGTGGTGGCTTATATTGCTATTCATTTTAGAACAAAACTTTTAAATTAATTACAAATATAAACAATTTTATATGAATTTTACAATAAAAATGTAATCTTGAAAATGCTTTCATTAAATTCAGCAAATGGTGTATCATTGTTTTCTGAATAGTCTTTTGCATTTTTTTTAAATGCGAAACTTATCTTAATAGTTTCTCGCTATTATGATAGGTACTACTAATGGTGTTAACGTTTTCTGTGAATAAATAGAGAATTTTTAATATTACAGAGTGGGCCCAAAAGTCTGGAAATGGGCCAATTATCTCGTAAATTGCTAGTTATAATTGTACAAAATTTAAGGTATACCTATTTTGGGATACGGAGATTCCATATTTAATATTTGCAATGTTGCCAGATTTGCCGTTTCTCTTATATTATTAGTAACTTTGGTTTTTCAAATTCATCACCCTGTATATTCAGTCATTATTGGAATCTCCTATTTAATACGAGTTCAACCATATATAACACTTATGATTTTATGTAGTTTGGAAGATCTTAAATACATAAAACATAAAGTCTGACAACGCCTAATTGTGTCAATAATTTTTTTAATACTAACTATTTTTAACTACATTAAAATGTAACAATTGATAGATTACAACATTTTTTAACATAATGGTTACTTTATCAAGTGTTCAAAATGTGCTCCATGTGAGTTGACAGTACCCTAATCGATGGTAGAATGCGTCTACCACATTTTTCCATGATTGTCTAGAAATTATTCGAGATTCATCGATATTTCGTTGCCTTAGTTCTGCAAGACTTGCTGGTTTAGTTTTGTAAACTAAATTTTTCAAGTATCCCCAATAAAAATAATCTTTAGGATTGAAATCAGGTGAACGTGGAGGCCATTCAATTCTACCTCGTCTGCCAATCCGTCGTCCGGGAAATACCTCTTCTAAATAACGCCGAACATTTACACCAAATTTTGTAAAATTATGAAAAGCAATTTACAATTTACGAATTACGAATTTACTAGATAGATACCGATCAGTTAGACCGAAAAGAGTTATGAATGACAACAAGACTAGATATGGTGCAAAGTTTTGTTGAAGATCCACATACATCCTCACGCAGGGTTGCACAAGTACATGATGTAGGTAGTTCTTCAGTCTTACGTGTATTACATAAGAATATTTATAAACGATACAAAATTAACTTATTGCAAGAAATAAGTGAAGATGACTTCGATCGTAGATTAGAGTTTACTGAGGTAATGATGGATAAAATGGAAAAGGATAAAAATTTCGTTAACAGAAAAGTTTTTCCGATGAAGCAACCTTTACACTGTGTGGAAGTGTAAATCGACACAATTTAAGGTACTAAAGTGACGTAAATCCACACTGGATGCGTGAAAACCAAACTCAAAGACCACAAAAATTAAATGTATGGTCAGGTATAGTAGGTACTCAGTTAATTGGGTCCATTTTTTATCGAAGGAAATTTAACTTCAGATAATTACGAAATGTTACTTAGAAATGAAATTGTACTAAAAATAAATAAATAATATAATACTTTTTAAATAAACTTGTTTGGGCCAATTTTAATCAGATATGGGCAAGATGGAGCTCCAGCTCATTTTGGGGTAAATGCTCGGGGTTATTTAGAAGAGATATTTCCAGGACGATGGATCGGTAGACGAGGTAGAATTGAATGGTCTCCCACGTTCACCTGATTTTAATTCTAAAGAATATTTTTATTGGGGATACTTGAAAAATTCAGTTCACAAAACTAAACCAGCAAGTCTTGCAGAACTAAGCAACGAAAAATCGATGAATCTCGAATAAATTCTAAACAATCATGGAAAAATGTGGTGGACGCAGTCTACCATCGATTAGGGTACTGTTAACTCAAATGGAGCGACATTTTTAAACACTTGATAAAGTAACCATTGTGTTAAAAAATGTTGTAATCTATCAATTGTTACGTTTTAATGTAGTTAAAAATAGTTAGTATTAAAACATTTATTGAGACAATTAGGTGTTGCCAGATTTCTGTTTTATGTATTTAAGACCTTTCAGACTACATAAAATCATAAGTGTTACATATGGTTGAACTCGTATTGAAAAGGAGATTCCAATAATGAGTGAATATACAGGGTGATGAATTTGAAAAACCAAAGTTACTAATAATATAAGAGAACGACTAATCTGGCAACATTGCAAATATCAAATATGGAATCTCCGTATCCCAAAATAGGTGTACCTCAAATTTTGTATAATTATGTCTGGTAATTTACGAGATAATTGGCCAGACTTTTGGGCTACTCTGTAGTTGTGAATGTTTTTATATAGAAATCTCAGAACCGTAATTTAAATTTTAGAGGTTAATAATTTATCGTAATTCAAAATTCTGATAAAGCTGGTATCAGATCTTCCATAATTAGACAATACCTTCTGTTCCTCGTCCCTTTGTTATTGTATTAACATCTGTTAATAATTTAGTAAATTTGTATAGTAAATAAAAACTAAGACATAAAATATTGCATATTATGTCTATGGTGGCCGTCAATAACTTAAATCGGGCCAATTTTTCTATTCCTGGATTAACATATTATACTTGGAATGTACTGAATCAATATATAGGATAGAAAAAAAAACATTATCTGAAAGTTATATACAATACTAGAAATAGATACATACGTATGATGGATTAGGATTACTTTTGTAGTGAATATAGTCCAAATATTTTTGACAGTTTACATTTTAAAGTAGACGACTATTTGATATTGATTGATATTGCCAATATTGCTGAGCTGCGTTCCTGGGACGACTTTATTGTAAGATACTTCATTCGATTACATGAAATCAACTTTAACTTGAGAAAACCCGCCAGAAAAAATGATAGCATGTGATTCGTTTTAAAAAGACAATCACATGTCGTGATAATAGTAATATTTTCCTGTTAGTGATTCCATAGTAAATCATGAGGAAAAAACCTGATAATACTATCCCGACATGGTAAGTATTTGGTCTTACATTTAGTTTACTCTCAATAAATACCATGATTTAATATGTGTGTTATTTAAAAAACATAAAATGATTTAGCCTCGATATGTTACTGACTTACTAATACTGGTATTTTCCTTTTATTACCTTCCTCTTTTAATATGGGTAACGAGATCCAACTTCATTCTGCACTATTTTTTTTCGTCCGGACAATTGCTCTTTGCTTACATCCTATATTATTGGGGTTTTTGTAAATAAACCTGTCTCTTTCACAACATCTTGTTTGGTTAGGCTACTATCTATTTAACACTTAACTGGTGACCATTCATCTCACAGACTCCTCACGTTTATTAACGCGTCTGCGTTTCTCGCCACAAATACGTAACAACCTAAAATTTGGTGTACCTTCCTAACTTTTAGAGTATATTCGAACGTGTTAATGAGAGGTACCTCGCTTCTCCCGTTTTCGAAATATTTACGTTGCGGAGTCTACTAGACGCAAGGTCACCATTAGTTTTATTTTAATATGGATAATTATCGTAAATCTGTAAGAGTATTAGACGATGATTTCAAAAAAGTGTGCATAAAATGCTATAATGAGGCGAACAGTGACATTAGTAATGATGATGTGGAAGAAGGATATTATATAGAAAGTGATCATTTTACGGACAGTGAACAAGAACTAAGTGAAAATGGACAGCAACAATATTCAGAAATGATATCTAGCGAAGATAAAGAAAAGTGGGCAATTCCAGCAATTATTACTATGGAAATAATAGGTATAAGTGGAGTAAAAAGAAGCCAATTAGAAATGTCCGTACGCCTTCTTACAATATTGTTGTACTCCTATCAATCTGTTCAAAAGTAGAAGAGTCAACGAGTCCCGTTTATTATTTTTCGGCCAAAATATCAACAATATAAAAAAGACAAATCCGAGTTGGCTGATACTGATGAAATAGAATTGAGAGCTTTCTTGCGACTGCTTCTTTATACTTCTGTTTATAAGTCAAATATACGGAGGATATATGAAGTCTCTTTACTACGAACGGGAAATGACGATCTACATTTAGAGTAATTATGAAACGTTTCCTGAACCTGATGGCCGCCTTAAGGTTTGACGATGCCTCGGACCGAGAACAAAGAGCAAGGGATAATTCAGCTGCTGCTATCCAAGAATTCTTTGTCTTATTTGTAAGCAATTCAAAAGATGCATATACGGTTGAAAAAAATGTATGTGTAAACGAAATGCTGGTAGGCTTCAGAGGCAGATGTCGCTTTAAAATGTATATTCCCAGCAAACTCTGTAAATATGGGATAAAAATCTTATGTACATATGACTGATGCCAGAACTGAGTATTTACATAGTGCTTACATTTATGTTGGGAAAGCTTCAGATGGATTTCGCCTGACAAATGAAGAAAAAAGAATGAGCATACCTACTTAAGCAGTTATAAGATTAGTCAAACATCTTTACAATAATATTAGAACTGTAACTGGCGACAACTGGTTTAGTTCAATTGATTTAGTAGATCATCTACAACAACATAAACTCACTTACGTTGGCACAATCCGAAGAAATAAAAAATAAATTCCTCCACAGTTACTTTCGCGACCAAATCGTAATAAAGGCGACACTTTGTATGGATTTACCAAAAACCTAACACTTTTATCCCGTAGAACTAAGAAAAATAAAGCTGTGATATTAATTTCTTCCGTGCATCATTCCATAGGAGTAGATGCAAATAATGGACTACCAGAAATAAATTCTTTTTTACAACTTGACCAAAGGGGGTGTAGACGTGATGGATGAAAAGTGTGTAAAATATTCCTGTAGCCGCAGAACACGTAGATGGCCATTTTTTATAAAATAGTAGACGTATGCGGAGTAAATTCATACATTATGTTTACTTCGATTCCCAAAAATAATTGGACTAGATTCAAATTTATAGAAATCCTGGCCGATGAACTTGTTTCCTCACATATGCATAGAAGATATGAAATGCCAGCATTACAAATG